GCGAACCACTGAAAGAGATGCTGCCTTCATGAACTTACTCTTAATGAGTGTGAGAAATTATCTTCCTTAGTGTCATCCTGGCCCACCCCCCTCGCCAGATAAGGAACAATGCAGGACTTGGCAGTAAAGTTAAGCAGATTGCAGAATGTAGAAGGCTAGAAAGTGGGAGGCCATGAGTTCAAGTTCCGCCTTAAAATGAAAGCCAACTGGGTGACTTTGAGCCAATCACAAAGAGATGGTGAGTTCTAGTCCCGCCTTGAAAGACAGCTGACTAACTTTGGGCCAGCCCAGTTCATCTCATGGGGTTGTTGTGGGGACAATAGGACGAAGCAGGTGTGTTAGATATGTTCACCACCTTGAGTGAGTTATTTGTAAAAAATAATGAAGGCAGGAAACATTTATTATTTATTAGATTATTACATTTATTATATTATTACATTGATTGTTTATTACAAATGTAGTTCATCCACTTTGATTCTAATTCTAACTCCAATTGGACATTTTAACTTTGGCTTGCAGGCTATCGCTACAATGACCTAGTTTCCCCACACTACCTGAACATGATTGCCAACTTATCAGGCTGCTCCGCCCACCGCCGCACCCCCAACTGCTCCGACATCTGCTTCCACAAGAAGTACAGAACCCATGATGGGTCTTGCAATAACCTCCAGCACCCCATGTGGGGTGCATCCCTCACGGCCTTCCAACGGCTACTGAAGCCCGCTTACCAAAACGGCTTCAACCTCCCTCGGGGTTTCTCCTTGGCGGAAGATTCCAGGGATCTCCCCCTTCCTCTGCCTCGCTTGGTCTCGACTGCCCTGATTGGCACGGAAACCATCACCCCGGATGACCAGTTCACTCACATGCTTATGCAGTGGGGGCAGTTTCTGGATCACGACTTGGACCAGACAGTGGCCGCGATCAGCATGGCGCGTTTCTCGGATGGGGCGTCATGCAGTCAAGTGTGCACCAACGATCCCCCTTGCTTCTCCATTATGATCCCCAAGAATGACCCCCGGGTACGCCGAGGACAGTGCATGTTCTTTGTGCGTTCCAGCCCCGTGTGTGGCAGTGGGATGACCTCCCTGCTGTTGAACTCAGTCTACCCCCGGGAGCAGATCAACCACCTCACCTCCTTCATCGATGCTTCCAATGTCTATGGCAGCACCGAACAGGAGTCTCTCGAACTGAGGAATCTCAGTGACCACAACGGGCTTCTGAAGTCAGGCCAGGCAGCTCTGAGTTCAGGAAAACCCCTCCTGCCTTTTGCCACTGGGCCACCGACTGAGTGCATGCGGGATGAAAGTGAAAGTCCCGTGCCGTGTTTCTTGGCTGGGGATCATCGGGCCAACGAGCAACTGGGATTGACTTCCATGCACACCTTGTGGTTCCGTGAGCATAATCGGGTGGCCACGGAGCTCCAGTCTTTGAACCCTCACTGGGATGGGGACACTACCTATCATGAGGCTCGCAAGATTGTGGGAGCCCTGATGCAGCACATCACCTACTCCCACTGGCTTCCCAAGATCCTTGGAGAAGCTGGGATGAAGGTCATGGGAGATTACAAAGGCTACGATCCCACCACCAATGCTGGCATCTTGAATGTTTTTGCCACCGCGGCTTTTCGTTTCGGCCACACCCTCATCCATCCGCAACTCTACCGATTGAATGAAACGTTCAAGCCCATCCAGCAAGGCCACGTCCCACTTCACAAGGCATTCTTCTCCCCATTCAGGATCACCCAGGAGGGTGGCATTGATCCCCTTCTGCGTGGGCTTTTTGGGGTGCCTGGGAAAATGCGGGTGCCTTCTGAACTCCTCAATATGGAGCTGACTGAGAAGCTGTTTTCAATGGTGCACTCAATATCCCTGGACCTGGCAGCCATCAATATCCAGAGAGGACGTGATCATGGTATCCCTCCTTATAATGACTTCCGGGTCTTCTGCAACCTCACCTCTGCTCAAGAGTTTGATGACCTCAGGAATGAAATTAAAAATCTGGAGATCAGGGAGAAACTCAGGAGGTATGGGAGCATGGACAATGACGTCTCCATCTCCCTTCCTTCTCCTTCTTACTCTGTGTCTCCATCTCCTTTCTTCTCCTTCTCCTCCTCCCTCTCTATCTCTCCTCCTCCTCCTCCTCCATTCAACTTGTTGTGTCAATGCTTTTCCAATGTCAGTCTCCCAGCCTAATATCCCAAGCAAGATATCTTTCCAATATCATGCTAGGTTTACCTGTTATGACTTCTTAAAGCTGAAACCTTCCCTTCTCTTGTCTCTTCTTGAAAGATACAAATTTCACCCCCGTGAGAATCCTTGCTGTTCTCCACTGAATCTGCACCATGTCTCTTAATCTATTTTCTCCTCCACTCCTGCAGTTTATATGGAATTACAAAGAATATCGACCTCTTTCCAGCCTTGATGGTAGAAGATCTTATCCCAGGAACCAGAGTAGGGCCAACACTCATGTGCTTATTGGTGACCCAGTTCAGAAGACTCCGAGATGGAGACAGGTAATTCCCATTTTTTCCTCAGAAACAAGTCCCTCTGCCAGCTTCTTCAGGCTTGCAGGCAGCAGATGAACTAGAAGTCAACCTCCATCAACCTTGCCAGAAAGATCATGCTAGTTGGCTTTCAATCCAGAATAACAATTATAAACAAAACACAGTATTTGGTGATTTTATTTATTGTTAAATCCCATATACCAGATTGTCTTTCCCCCATTTCCTTGGGAAATCTGTTACTTTGATCGAGGCTCACCAGCCCTGGCAAAGAGCATGTTTTACATTAGTCATCTCCTATTTGATGAGATTCCATTTGTTCTTGGCAATATATAGTCTTCTAGGATATCTAGAGGGGGGAAATGGTGCTCCTTTGGGCCCAAAATTAACTGACACCCTCAGATAGACACCCTCTCTCCTTTGTGACTACAGAAACTCCACCCCCATCTATGACCCCCATCTATGACCCCCATCTACCACCTCCATCTATGACCCCCATCTATGACCTCCATCTACGACCTCCAGAATTATTCAAGAACAGAATTTTGACATTGTATTATCTTCTTCTTAGTAAATAAACCCTCAAAATAAAGATGTTACACAATAGGTAGTTCACCATACTTGTGAGCAGCGGCAAAATAGATTATACTACATCAGGGCCCCTGCAGGGTAGGGAGCATTTAAAGAAAATTAAAAGGCAGACATTGCTGTCCATCCAAATAGGTGAAGGCTGATGGAGAAGGGACAGTAACATCTTATAGCTGATTCAAATTATTTTTAAACATTTTAGCTCAGCCCCCTCTAGGGATTTTAACTATCACTGGCAAATAGGGGGAAATGTTGCCTCTCTCTCTGTTATTTCAAGCTTGGCCTGAAGTTCTCCAGATGTTTCATATCCTCACCTTTTTGCTTCTCTCCACTAGATTTTGGTATGAAAACCCAGGTGTGTTCACTTCAGCCCAGCTCACACAAATCAAGCAGGGGTCCCTGGCCCGCATCATCTGTGACAACAGCGACCACATCCAGCATCTCCAGAGGGATGTCTTCCAGGTAGCCTCCTACCCTCAAGGCATGGTGGACTGCAGTGAAATTCCTCAGGTGGATCTGCGCTTGTGGAAAGACTGCTGCGAAGGTGAAGAAATCCCAGCAAGGTGACACTTTGCTGGAATAGGTCCAAAAAGTGCCTTGTCAAGCTAAAACCTTTAAAAAAAAAAAAAAGCTAATTTTGTGGGGTCCTGGGTGCTCTCTGAGTTTGGTTATTTTCTTGCAGACCTTTCATTACCCAACTAGGTAACATCATCAGGGCTGCAAGGGAGTGGGGATTGTGGGGAGGGGGAGGACTGTGGTTTCCCTGATGTTTTTTGAGTTTTGATTGTTTTCTTGCAGACATTTTATTCCTCAATTAGTTTGGGGGATACGGGGGCAGAGATTGTTACACAAAGAATGATCTGTTACCAACATCCACTGTTTCTGGGGCCCTGCCCTTGATCTCTTAAAAGTGGGAAACAATTCATATATGTTCATCCAGAGGATGGAAGCGATGACCTGCTTCAACGTGGAGAAGAAAGGCCTGGTGGTATATAGTACTGGTAGCTCAGCCATGGGCTTCATAAGAAGAAAACAAGAATGGACTTCCAGCTGAACTTCCTCCGCCTTTGGGCGAGGTCTGTGATTGTCCACGGCTTTGCTTCGAGCTCTCCTCGTCGGAGGGCCGCAATCAAGGCCAGAATGACCCTAAAGGGGTGGTGAAGAAAGGGGGATCGCCCAACAGGTAGAGAGAGCCGTATCTCTCCTCCCTGGCATGGAAAGCCCCCTCATCTGAAGACGATGTAGCAGCAGTCAAAATGGCTGCCATGAAGACAGGGTCAGTCTGAAACCTAAGACTGTGCAGGAGTGAAGAGTTGATGGTGTGTGAACTGGGTGAAAATATTTCTGAACTTCAAAAGATAACACCGATTAAAATATCAGGAAAGAGAACTCACAAGGATTGGGAATTGGCAACGACCTAGAATTAGAAAAGAATACAAAGAACTAATTTAAAAAAAACAAATGGAAGGGAAATAAATTAAAGGAAGATTATTTCTTAAAAGAATATTTGAAAATTGGAACTGGTGATTGCACAGGATTTGGCACTGGATAAGCATTATTTAAAATGCTGTAACTGACTGAGAAAAAAAAAGAATATATAACTAATATTTGGAAATATTGGCAAATTTGACTAAAGACAAAAGGAACGGAAAAAAAAGGTGGAAAGTGAAAACTGACACAAAACTGACACCTGCTGTTTAAAGAAAAATCGTGTAGATCCCTAAAGCCTTGTGTGACCTATTTAAAGAGGAACTTAAAGGAAAAATAAAAGGAACTGTATTGTTAAAAGACTCCAGAAAACGGGAACATTAAACTTAAATTGGTGGAGGAATGTATGAAGATACCCCCTTGGATTATTGAAAAGGAATAGATTGATTCACTTTGACATAAAGATTTCAGGATATTGGACTTATAGATTGAAAAAGGACACTGGTTCAAACAAAGACTGCGGGACAATTGGATAATTGGACATAAAAAATAAAATAAAGAGAAGTGAAGTGGTGTTGGAACTTCAAGCCATAAAAGAAATGATGAACAGAAGCCTTAAGGACATTTTGAGTAAAATACAGCGCATGGAAGAAAACCTAGAAATGGAGATGCAAACTACAGAAGGAAAACAAGAAATGCAGGAGGAGGAGTTAAACAGAAGAGAAACCAGCAAAACAGAGCAGAGGGAACAACAAACAAAATGAAAGGATAAAAAGGAAATAAAATGCTAGTCTCCTGCCTGTCTCTCCTACATAGTGGCTGTTACAGACTCTTCCAGCACTGATGATGTTGCTTAGTTGGGTAATGAAATGTCTGTAAAAAAAAAAAAAAAGCTCAGAAACCAGTTGAACCCTGATAGATATTCTCTTTTATTGGATTTCTGAATGCAGTTCAATTCAACCCTGAGTTACAGGTATTTTATTTTAAACTAATTTTAGAAGGTGGTGATGAACATTCCTGGAGTATAATCCTAAGGAAAATGCGCGTTGATACATGCGTGTTGGGAAACTTCATTCTTTGGGACACATGGAGGTGAATCCCCTGATGAATTTAAATTCAGCTGTCTCCCAGAGAATGGTATTTTGGGGGCATCTCTTTTCAAGGATTGCACAGAACACAGAATAATAGGATTGGAAGGGACCGTGGTGGAGGTCTTCTGGTCCAATCCCCTGCTCAAGCAGGAGACACTACAGCAATCTGGACAAACGGCTGTCCAGTCTGTTCTTCAAAACCTCCAGGGATGGAGCAGCCACAACTTCTGGAGGCAAGCTGTTCCAGATTGATTGTTTTCACCGGCAGGAAACTTCTCCTGGGTTCTAAGTTGGATCTCTCTTTAATGATCCTCCACCTTGTTAGGTATAACATTGATACCAAATATGGTTTGGGTGAATAAATATATAAAACTTAGATATCATGGTTTAAGTGTTTATCACTTTAAGCACAATGCTGCAGGCAATTAGCCGATTAAGGGTGCGGTTAGAAGTTACAATATAAGGAAGCATTAGAAGCTGGAAAGCTTACTGCGACTAACTGTGTCTTACTGTGACTAACTGTGATTACTGACTGTGAGTGCCTGTGACTGAACTGTTCTTGTTTGCTACTGTTTGCTGATTTACTGCGTAATTCTACTGTTCTACTGTTTGAGCTTCTTGCTGAATATCCAGCGTTTGTTCCTCTGGAGAGAGACACCGGAGGAGGAGAAGATATCTTTATCGGCTGATAAAGATATTGCAAGGACTCTTAACTTGGACTATACTAGTGAGTCTTACTGGATGGAAATAATGTGAATGACTTAATGGACTGAATGACAATGCTTTAAACTCTAAATGGATTAAAAACTATTTAAACTACAAAGAAGTGTTTGTGTTCAGTGTGTGTATACTCTGGGGCCCTTCCGCTCTCGTTTTGGCTGCCTGGCTTGACTACTGCTGCAATACTCTGCTAGGGGTTAATCCCCAAACACTAACACACCTGTTAATTCTTGTCCTGCCCTTCAGAACCTTTGTCATTTTTGTTGCTCTTCTCTGCACGTTTTCTAGAGTCTCTACATCTTTCTTTCGCATCAGGGTGACCAGAAGTGGATGTAGTATTCCAAGTGTGTCCTCACAAGCATCCTAAATAAGAGAATGTCTTGGAGAACATAAATATTCCTCCATTGATGTTTGGATGTAGTCCTTTCAGAAATCAAATTCGTGGCCATTTCTTATGTGTTTTGTCCAACAAAAAAATGTCAAGGGGTGTTGCTGACCTGAGATTAGCTTTTTGGAAAGAGAAGTGAACATGTGCTTTTATATAAAACCCATTTAGCTGGTTCCCCTGTATCTGCTACATGCAGAGAGAATGAAGAAAGACAACAGATATGGGCACTTACGAGTTTTTCAAAGGTTGTCAAATTCTTCTTCTTGCCCTAGATTGCAACACAAGGGGTCAATTAAGGGCTCTCTCGCAGCAGTTCCGAAGCAAAAGATCATCCAACTTCAGCTATCCAGAAGAAAAGCCATCCAAGGCCATCTTAGGACAACCAAGGTATCTTTCTCAGCTTCTTCTTCTTACACTTACGTAGCTAAGATTTAATGGACTCTTTTGAAAAGCTCATCCTCGGTGTGGACTTCAACTCGCAGAATCCCCCAGTCAGATGAAGCAGCCAGTTGAGAAACGTTGGACTAAGACTACCAGATGTGGTTTGAGAAATTCCACATGATTGCAGTATAGTCTAGTGGTTATTATTTTAGTAGTTAAGGCACCAGGCTAGTAACCAGGAGACTGTGAGTTCTAGTACCACCTTAGGCATGAAAGCCAGCTGAGTGACCTTGGGCTAATCCTTCTCTCTCACCCCAACCTACTTCACAGGTTGTTTTTTGTAGGGAAAATAGAAGTAGAATTATGAATGTTAGCTGCCTTGAGCTATTTATAAAAATAAGAAAGTGGGTAGAGTAGAGTAGAGTAGAGTAGAGTAGAGTAGAGTAGAGTAGAATAGAATAGAATAGAATAGAATAGAATAGAATAGAATA